TCAATATTCTACTGAGTTTGATGCCTTTGGTTTTTCTGTGAAGGATCTTTAGACGAGGAACCCTCGTCTACGTTGCAATAGTGCTGGTTCCCTTTACACTTTCCCATCCACCCTTTTGGATCAATCTCACGCACCGTCTTTTTCATCATGTCCGGCGTTTGCTGCTTCCGTCTCTTCTCATGTCTGGCATCAACGCTTTGGTCACCCCAATTCTTCTGTTTTATCTAGATTAGTGTCACATCGCCGCCTTCTTGGTTTGGTGGTTTCCTCAAATAAATTTAGTCTTCGTCAGGCTTGTCAAATTGAGAAACATCATAATCTCCCTTTTATGCCTTCTACTTCGGTTACTTTCAAAGCTTTTGATTTAATACATATCGATGTTTGGACTTCTCCCTGTCTTTCATTTAGTGATTTCAAGTATTTTGTACTTTTTCTTGATGATTTCACTCATTATTTATGGGTGTATCCACTTAAAAATAAATCTGAGGTACCTCACAAATTTATTAACTTCTACACTCTTGTCCAAACTCAAATCAATACTTCTATAAAAACTCTTCAATCTGACGATGCTGCTGAATATGTTCACTCTCATTTTCTTCAATCTTTTCTCAAATCTAAGGGAATTGCCATGCACATTTCTTTTCCATACACTCCTCAACAAAACGGCAAAGCTGAGCGCATGAATAAGATTGTCCTCGATATGGTCCGCACCCTCCTCAATCAAGTTCACTTGCCACCTGAATTCTGGGTAGAGGCCTTAAATACTAGTGTTTATCTGATAAACCGTTTACCTACCAAATCCAAGAACAATTTTGTTCCGTTCTCCCTTCTTTTTGGGACTGTACCTAATTATGGTGTCTTGCGGGTCTTTGGATGTTCTTGCTTTCCTAATCTATCTCATTTAGCTTCTCATAAGCTCCAACCTCGGTCCACTCCATGTATCTTCCTCGGTTATCCTGAGTCTTATAAAGGTTACCGTTGTTTTGATCCTACTTCTAAGAAAATTTACACTTCCCGTCATGTTATTTTTGGTGAAACCTCTTTCCCGTTTCCTCAACTATCTTCGGTTCCACCACTCTCTACTCCCAACTCTTGTTTAAAACATCATTTGTTTCTCATTCCACGGTCCATTCCCACTTCCGTGATACCTTCACCTCCTCAACAAAAAGTGTCAACTGTTCCTTCTATACATTCAAACCCTACACCTTCTACTTCCTTCCCAACTCATTCGGGTCCTCCTTCTTCAAACCCTCCCACTCATCATATGGTCACCTGCACTCGGGATGGCACCCGTAAACCTAAACAGATCCGCTCTCTTACTACTACTACAACCTCTTCACTTCCCCATGAACTAAAATCTTTCACTGAAGCCAATAAATACCCTGAATGGCGAGCTGCTATGAGTGATGAATATAATGCTCTCCTCACTAACCATACATGGGATTTGGTCCCTCCTCCTATTTCTGCTAACATTATTGGCTCAAAATGGATTTTTCGAGTTAAGCTCAAATATGATGGTTCACTTGATCGATGTAAAGCACGTTTGGTCACTCAAAGTTACAATTAAAAGCCTGGTATTGATTATGATCAAACGTTTAGTCCGGTGGTTAAACCAGTGACAATTCGGACTGTATTAAGCATTGCTGCTTCTCGCAAATGGCCCATCCATCAGTTGGATGTTAAAAATGTATTTTTGCATGGTCATCTCAATGAAATTGTCTACATGAAATAGCCTACTGGTTTTGTTCATTCAGATCATCCTCACTATGTCTGTCGATTGAACAAAGCTCTTTATGGCTTAAAGCAGGCTCCCCGAGCTTAGTTTCACAGATTCACTGCTTTTCTGTTTTCTCAGAGTTTTAAAGGCAGTCGCTCAGACTCTTCTATGTTTGTGTATTCTGCTGGATCAGACATGGCGGTTTTGTTACTTTATGTTGATGACATTCTCTTGATAGCATCTAGTAATCGTCTAGTCACTACTATTATTCAGTCGCTGAAGGGTGCTTTTGCCATGACTGATCTTGGTCCAATCAGTTATTTTCATGGTGTTTCTTTTGCTCCTCACTCTGGTGGTTGGTTTTTACACCAACGTAAGTATGCTGAGGAATTGTTGGCTCGTAGTCATCTCACTAATGTCAATCCTGTTGCAACTCTCCTTGATCCCTCTTTTCAGTTTTTTGTTGATGAGTCTCCGCCTTTTCACAATCCAACTCTCTATCGGAGCTTGGTGGGTGCCCTACAGTATCTTACCTTCACCAAACCGGACCTTCAGTATGCTGTCAACCTTATCTGTCAGCATATGCATGATTCTCGGGAGCAAAATTTTCAAGCTGTCAACCGTATTCTACGATATATTAAAGGCACACTTCATTATGGCATTCATCTCCGCGCTGGTCCTCTTGATCGCCTGGTTACTTATTCTGATGCTGATTGGGCCAGGTGTCCCACTACTCACCGTTCTACCACTGGTTTTTGTGTCTTGTTAGGCTCCTCTCTCATTTCCTGGTCCTCCAAGAAACAATCTACAGTTTCCAGATCTTCTGCTGAGTCTGAATATCGTGCGGTTGCTTCTGCTTTGGCTGAAACGGTTTGGTTAGAGAATCTTCTGTCAGAACTTCTTATCAAGCTTCCCCAGCGCCCAGTGATCTTGTATGACAATGTCTCTGCTACATACCTAGCTGCCAATCCTGTTAACCATGCTCGAACCAAACATATTGGTCTAGACATTCATTTTGTTCCTGAACGTGTCCCTGCTGGTCTTCTTCAAATTCTTCATATCTCCACCCAGTCTCAACTAGCGGATGTATTCACCAAATCCTTGCCTAAGGATAAATTTTATTCGTTTAGAACCAATCTGTGCATGATTTCTTCTCCTACTCCGATTGCGGGAGGATGATAGAATATATAAATACGGAAACCCAAATTAAGGTTTCCGATAGTCACGACTAGGGTTATTGTAATATTGTACTATATATATGATGTTGTACACACGTAATAAGACACAAAAAATATTCTTTCAAAACCTCCCCCACTGCCTCCGAAACACAAATCTCCTTTGTCACCTCCAAAATATAAGAGTCCTCCGCCGCCTCCTAAACATAAATCTCCGCCGCCTCCCCCTAAACATAAAAGTCCCCCACCACCACCTAAATCAAAAACTCCGCCGCCACCTCCATCACCACCGCCTTCTCCACCACCTCCTACACCGACTTCTCCTCCACCTCCTACACCTACAACTCCTCCACCACCACCTACAACTTTCCCGCCACCACCTTCCCCGCCGCCTCCCCCTCCCCCACCGCCTTCTCCTCCGCCTTCTAGCCCTATTACAACTTGCCCAGATGGAGATAATCTAGTGAAACTCGGAGTGTGTGCTTATATAGCTAGTGCAAGGATCGCCATTGGATCTCCTCTTCTACAACAACAATGCTGCCCCCTTATCGAAGGCCTTTCAAACCTTGATGCTGCAGCTTGTATTTGTAGTGGCGTCAAGTCGAGAATTTTTTTACTTTGTTAAGTCTGTAGTTCCAACAGTTGACATTAGCCAGATCTTTAATGAGTGTGACAAGGAATTCCCAAATTTCCAATGTGCTTAAAAAGACTAGAACAATCTTAATTCTTCTTTTGTCATCCTCGAACTTTGTTTTTTGTTATTTAATTTTTTTTTTTGGTAAGAGGTTTTCTTTTTGGGTTCTAAGGTGTTTTTAGAACAAAATGTCTCAGCCAAAGATGCACAGAAGTTCATGCTTGTGAATTGCATCTAATGCATGCATGAAGAATGGGAAAAAAATGGAGCTGAAAAAGGCCATGTTAAATGATGGATTTTGGAATTGATTCGGTGTATTTGTGGCTGGATTTAACTTGTGAACTTGAAAATCATTACTGCATGCCATTTTTTGAGTTCAGAGTACTTTCATGCATTTGACCGGTTCTATTTGTAATAAGTAACATGCGATAGCTCTGACCTCTCTCTATCTTTCCTCCCATGGCTGGCGATCCGCCGTCGGCCATAGGGCCAACACCACCTCAACGACCTTCCTTTGCTTAGATTTTACAATTTAATTCAAACTCAAAAACAATACACAATCATTCCACCCAAAATCAAACTCTAACCCCACTCGTGATACACTCAAAACCAATAGTATTCAAAGGAGATCCAACATTTCTTCTTACAAAAGAAGAAGATGAATAATTGACAGCCCCATTTCGACTTGCACTAGTCGGAAAATTCACCAAAGGTCGGCCAAAGATGGAATATCTGCGGAGATAATTCCAAATAATTGGTTTTAAAGTAAACCTTTTTATTGGATCGATTGACTACTGACATATCCGCATACGTTTCGATCTAGAGAAGGATTTTTATCGCTGCTGGCTAAAAGGGTTGTGGACCTTTGACAAGTATCGGATGAGAGTCCTAAAATGGACCACTGATTTTAATCCTGCACACGAAAGTTCCACTGTTCCCGTTTGGATCTCCTTAGAAGGACTTCTCATTCATCGTTTCAACAAAGATTACTTATGGAAACTTGCTAGCATCATAGGGACTCCACTCCAAATTGATGTGCCAACCCTCAATATGTCTCGACCTTCGGTAGCTCGCGTTTGTGTCAAGATAGACCTCCTCAAGGAGCACCCCATTCGAATCCGACTGGGGGTTGAAGGGAAGTCTTACATTCAATCAATTTTTTACGAGAACATGCCCCGATATTGTGTCGACTGTAGAAATATTGGTCAAGATATCCATAATTGTCGACATTTATCATCGCAAAAGGTGGATTCGCACCAACTAACAAGAAAAGCAAACATCTAGGATCCGAACAGTACCGTAGCCTTTGGAGAAGTCGCACCCAGCGCAGGACAAGGCTTTAGCAGATTCATCAGCTGCGCTGCCTCTTTTGTTAAAGCAACGAATGAATGCTGTGGAGAAAACGCATAGCTCCAAAGTTCATCTACTCATGCCGGGTTCAAACCATTCTGTCAAACATCAATTACAATAGCGAATGGAGGATAATCAATTGCCTAGACTGCCATTAATTGCGCAGCCACCAACCATGCCGAAATCGGGAGAAAATACCTTTGCCAATCAACCTACGGATCAGGGAAAAGCTTCAGCAGAATCAATGATTGCAGGGAACGATTTGCTGATTCAGCCCGTCGTCTCGCCGGCGCAGAATGTCGTTGTTGAAGGAGTCGCGCCACCACTGAACACGGTGGCGCAAGCAATTGTTGGGTCTGAAGTTGCGGCTACTGCAGACCAGCGCATCTCTGCTGATGTTGTTGCTGTCACGGAGAATCGACAATCAATCCCCGCTTCGAATCTGGTTGCTGCGCAAGACTCTATTGAAGTTGTTGCGCAAACCCTCGATTCCCCTAATCAGCGAGATTTAGTTGTCCCTCATGTTTCTTCCGCCAATAATCGACGCCTATCATTATCTCCGATGACTCTGCAAACAGCCGCCAGTCATGGTCAACAGTCTAAGCCACCGGAAGGGGATGACCGGTGGGATTCGCCGAAGGAAATTCCAGAAGGGGAGTTGCAGTTTTTGCGGCCGTTTTCTGCGCAGCTAACTCCTGAGATTTTTACCCCAACTGCGCAATCAACAAGCGCTCCTCAGGATCTTCAAATTTCAAATGTGGAAAAGTCAAATACGGAATCCTTAACACCTCAATCTTATCCCCCCAAAGAAAAGGAGTATCTTCGTATTCAGAAATCTCTTTTAATAGTCCTATTCAGAATTTAAACCAAGTAGCCCCAATTTCAAGCTCTCCACAAATCTCTCCATCTAATAACGAAGGGAATTTCTCCGAAAATAGTTCTCAAAAAAATCCAACAAAAAAACTAAATGCTATTGCTGCGGAATTCTCCTATCCATCTAGCCCACAAATCCCTATTCTCCATGTATTGTTACCAATTTCAGGCCCAATCACAGGAATAAATCACAGTCAGTACTTATTCAAAGATGATGCGGAGGTAGGGAAGCATATAAACTCGTCAGAAACAGATTTCTCAATTGATCAAATTCATTCTGAGGGTGAACAAAATCATACTTTTAATGATTCAGAGGACATGGAACGTGAATTGGAACGAGAGTCTTTATACAGTGAAATTTTTGTTTCAATATATCATAATCACTCGAAAAAAGCCAAGGCAAAAAAGAGAAAAATTCAAGTTCGTCGGTCAACTAGATTGAATAGGAATTAAAATTTTACTTTATGATTAAAATTATACTTGTTATAGGGTTTAGTATATTCACTGCCCTATTAAAAAAAAAAGTAACTTACGACAAATCTCTTATCATCGAATTTTGTATCAGTTACTCACGTTAAAATGTTGTTAATGTTTCTTGTGGCTAAATTTGTAACAAAATTATACTCTTCAAAATAGTTTGACTTTGCCATTTAGGGAATCAATTCTCTTCTTGTCTTCTAATGATTGGTCTTCTTCTCATTTGGGCACATCCCCATCCCCTCCCCCCCCGGGCGCGCGAATACTGATCCCTGATGACAGAGTTATCTGAAGTAAATTAGATAACTGTAATGGTTTAACTACGTACATTTAATTTTACTAGCACCGCGATACGTTATTTTAGAAAACTGATGAATTTCGTCTCAACTTTTGAGGATTTGACACAACATCAAATTGACCACCTGACCACAAAAATTATACTCTCTCTATCTTATTGTAATAGTTTAATTTGTTAATGATGTTATTAATTACTAGTTTATTGTGTTTCATTTTAATTTAACGAATTAGACTTCTTAGATTGATGGGAAATTTACATCGTGCATATGTGATCATCACGGATAACAATATGAATGAAGTGAAAGATCAAGAGATGCCAGTTGGTCTAGAGGAAGAAGTAAAATATGTACGGCGCTTCTCAAGATTCGGGGAAGAAGTCCAATACTGACATGCACGTTGGCATTTGAGAGAATCGGGTATTTTTTCTTTCACTACTCGGGGTTCCAGACTTCACTAGGTCAACCTATTTATATAGTTAATCGTGTATGTAAAATCTTTATAAAACTTACAATTTGGCTTTTAACAACTATTTTATGCCTGATCGCATCCACGGTGAAGAGAATATAACTGGTAAGAACCATGTGAAAAGATGATTAAATTGGTGTGGATCTATGTGATAGCTAGCCATGATACTGGCTTAGCAATGTCAAACACGAACTAGCTAGCCATATATACATCACAAAATGTTACTTCCTCTGATGAAAAGATAAAATACGCGTTGAGTTTGTAGATTTGTAAACATGCTTTATAACAAATCTGCAAATACAATTAATTTGACTTATTTTCTTGAGACAGAAGGAATAAATACACAAAAGAGCACAAGTTTCAGGCATGCTGAACTGAATTAATTATTTATGATTGTAGCTGGAACTTTTGATTTGCACGCAATTTTTTTTGTTTGGAATTTCTTACATTTCATTCGGTTCTTAATTAAATGTATATACTGAAATTTTGTTAATACTTATGATTCAATCCAAAAACACAGTTTGTAGGGATCGCTTTTCGTAACTTCCTCTTCATTGAATTGATTCCGGGTTTTTCTTATTACCTATAAATTGAAGATGAGCATGCAATTTTTATGACTAGCTAGGTTTCAAAACCACTAAATTTCCAACTTCACGAAATTATTCTGAAATTTGGGGTGATTTCTCTTTTTGCTACATTTGGGATTTTCAGTAAACGAATTAAACAAGACACACGGACAGTAGATAAAACACGTAGTAATAAATTGGTACAAAGTGGTAATAAATTGGTACACACGGACAGTAGACCTCCATATTAAGTTTGTTTGGGGCCATTAGAATCCACAGTCCTAGAACGACAACAGCTCTGAACACCAAAGAAATTCAGTAATTCCAGACTAAGTTTGCACCGTCGATTAGTAACGCAATCAATCTTACGGACATAAATTTTCTGCCTTACAACCTCTTCTCATATTTACACATGGACCATATCTCACTCTAGCTTAGATAGAAAAATACGATAAAATTGTGGTTTCATGTCTTGCCTGGGTTTTCCTATACACGAAAGTTAACTAGCTACCCCTGAAAAGAGCTTGCAAAGTTGACAAATCCAACGATTTAATTACATATTGTTCTACGAAAAATTCTCAAATACAATATATTCTTTTTGTTCCAAAATGATTATATATTCTAGATTTTCACTTGAAGTATAATTTTAACTACAAATATATTGATCAATCGGTTGATGATGAACATCAAACATATTGATGATTCTATTATGCGATCATAGGCGATCAATTCGAAATATCAATTTACGAATTAATCAGTAGATTAATCTCATGATAAGTTGATACAAATTGATTATAATTATGAGATATGAAGTATCACAATTTATTACAGCATTACTTTACAAGGTAGACTATGTATATACTGTTAGTGTATGTATTACGATTAGTCTAGGGGCATTATTATAATTTTATTGTAACTCTATACACCATAATTATGTTGTATCAATACAGTATAACCTACGGGTTCTTTGTATCTTCATGTACTTGAGCCTAACCTCTCGACCAGAAAGATAGACTGTAAGTTTTACTCTTAAAACGAACAAATCTCAATAGTCTCCGTATTAACATAAAATCAAAAACAAAACAAAAATAAAAAATAAAAATGAAAGTCAACATACTTGTTAAGGAAACGCTTGTTTTCCCGAGTGTGCATGCATGCATGCACAAGATGTATACAATAGAAAGATCGATACCCAACCCAAATGCATTTCCTTTTATACAAACTATCCCTCAAAATTTGGTCTTAATTAAGACTGTTTCAAGAACATTTAAAACCCGTCGGGAACTTCCTTCCACACTGACCGAAGAGCGTTTGGGGGAAAGGAGTGTTGTCATCACGGGGAATGGCAACATTGTTAAAAGCTCCTTTGCTTGCGGCATTGCAAATGCATTTAGCTGCTTCAGAATCTGGAAGGTCTTTAAAAACTGAGCAGCATGGACCTCTGGGTTCAGCAATAGATAGAATGACGCGTTCACACGGTTTGAAAACCATGGGATCATCTGGGCAAGTAGGTGGTGGCGGCGGAGGAGGTGGGGGCGGCGGTGGAGGAGTAACAGGGGGAGATAGCGGCGGCGGCGGTGGTGGTGGTGGTGGTAGACTTTCCGGAGGAGGAGTAACAAGGGGAGGTGGTGGTGGCGGTGGTAGAGTTTCCGGACTAGGAGCCGGCGTCAAAGGAGTTTCAGGATTATAAGGTAGCGGCGAAGGACTTTCAGCTGTAGGTGGTGGGGGAGGCGGTGTATGGGGTGGTGGTGGTGATGGTGGCAGTGGCGGAGGAGGTGATGGTGATGGTGGAGGTGGAGGAGCTGTATAGGGTGGCGGTGGTGGTGGAGAAGTAGGAGGAGGAGGAGGAGGAAGTGTTGGAGGCGGTGGTGAGGGAGTTACCGACACCACTATAGGAGGTGGTGGTGGAGGAGATTTAGGTTTCTTAGGTGGTGGCGGAGGAGATTTAGGTTTCTTAGGTGGCGGGGGAGGTTTGACTTTTGGGGGTGGCGGAGGAGGCTTAACTTTTGGGGGTGGCGGAGGAGGTTTGACTTTTGGAGGTGGTGGTGGAGGTTTAGGTTTCTTTGGCTTGTGCTTAGGCTTTGTGTCTGAGGACTCCTTACGGGCACTTACGGCAGTGAACAAGATTAGGTTTAGAAGAAGAAAAAGAGCAAGGTAAGTGGTGGCCTTGGAACCCATTGCTTGAGTCCCAAAGAGTTGACCTAATTAAGCTCTATGATGGAAACTCTGTGTCGAGTTTGCAGGGTTTTATAGGTTTATACACATCGTGATTAAACCACGGGTCTTTTTCTAAGTGGTTGTTGAAGGATATTTGAACAGATATTATAATGTATATAGAGCCAAGTTAGTTGCAAATGCGTGTTAAGGACAGACATTTCAATTGCCTGATTGCCATGTTTTTTGGATTGTCAGCTTTTGAGTTTTGACTTACACAATCAGTTGTTCAAGATATGCCACTTAGAAAAAGAGAATGAATTAAACAAGCAGCAAATTAAAATTGTCTTGCTTCGAATTCATATTGCTCGTTCCAGTGCAGTATGTGTGTGTATGTGTTTCTTCCTTTTCGTACAAGAACGTAATTAAATTACCATGTAAAATCTTTTATATATATATATATATATATATTTTCATATTGCAGAGTATTCATCATCGACAATAGTGACTAATTATCCTCTCTCACAGTAGGTATCTTCGATGAATAGAAGAACTAGCCAAAAAATTTTAAATTACTTTTTTAAATTCTCAACCAGTGGTTAAGAGCGGAAGAATCTTAATTATCACTCCACCACAATCTTTTTGGTTATTTATATTTATTCCAATATATAATTTAGTGTTAGAGTAACTTCCGTTCAGTCTTAAACTTAGAGGTCAATTGTATGCAACTCCTTATTGAAAGTCTAAAGTCGTCTGCCTTCAGAGCACTTTGCATAATAGAGCATCCGGATTCCATGGAGTCGCAACAACCTTGTTCAGCAAGTCAACTCCTTTTTCATTTTCTTTTTGTTATTATTTATTTGTTGATCTTTCGGTGCACTTTTTATTGTTGAGGCATTGACTAATTGTGAGTCCATGCATTAAAAATTCCAAGATAAACACAACATGCTTTAAACAAATGAATCTGTGCCTTAAGCATATGCACAGAGCGAAAGATTATTAGTATTATATGTCAACACACAAAGCCATGTGATCGGGAGTTGTACCTATATCGGATTCATTGGTTGGTGTTTTGAGATTCCCAGAGTAGCAGCTGGCGTAGCGAATGTCAAACAAATTGGTACAAACACTTTGTGGAGTTTTCTTAACCCTATTCTGTACAGTACAATGTTGACATTATGGCAAACACAAATTTATAATTTTAATCGATAGTTGATGTATATGCTAATAATTAGTGACAATTGTCTTTTCTTTTCTCTTTTTCTTTTTTTCCAACTATTGCTCAATTTTCTTCAATCTACATTTTGCATTCAATAATTACTCCATGTTGATGTACTGTGTATCGCGGAGGAGAATAAGAGGTAAGCTTTGTACTTGAATCTGCAAAGAAGAGGACTCCATAAGGCAATTCAATGGTCAAATGAGAGTTGATTGCATAATGAATGAAGAACGATAAACTTTTTACACTATATTATAGCACTCCATCCCTCTCATTTTGTTTAAAGATAAATTTAACAAATAGCAAGTCACACACAAACTTATAACTTGCATGGAGCTCTTAATGCGTTGTGTATGTTCATTTTTTCTTTTTCATTGTTCTGTGATATCTTTTTAGGTCAACGTTTTGCTTCACCAATAATGCAACTTTTTTTGTTATAATACATTAAATTATAATTTCTGTTGCCATTACACTCCACGACAGCATACAAAGTGTCCTAATGCACAAATTGTATTTTGTTTAAAGATGTTAAGTAGTTATTGAGGAAATCGTATGACCTTTTGGATCGAACTGATACTTCGTTTGTGGCAACGTCTTCAAATTGAAATTGGGCCATAACGTGGGCTTAGTGGTTCTTGTCTCTATGCTTTATGTTCCTGATTCATAACATAACCTTTTAGGCCCCGTTTTATAAGAAGTACAATATTGAAACACTAAGCACTTGGCTACCTTCTGGTCATTTGGATGATCAGAAAAAAAAAAAAAATCATTGAATTATTTTTTTACATTCTACATTACATTAAGTTTCTGAAACAGATCAAACCAAGTTTCTGTAGTTCTACTTTTACTATATTGGGATTGAATTCTATCTCACAAAATCTCATTTTGAGGAGCCTTTTGAGAACAACAAACAGACAGAAACTTGATAAAGAATGAACTAATGCTTCTATCATGTCACTACGTCAGAGTTGATGCATTTGCACAAACCACTTTCTCTGATGCAAAAAATCAGGGTTGGGAATGGAAAACCTCTTGTCCTCTAGGTTGCGGTGGCCTCCGGCTCATGTTACTGTAACTGAACTGCTCAGCTTGTTGAGTATGTTCGCTAGGACTATCCAATGTATCATCCTGAGCATCCATTCCCACATACTGCTGCACAACAAGTACCGAAACTGTGGCTGCAAAATCTGATGAGGCTAATAGATCACCAATTCCTCCGAGTTCAGGGCATTCGCTCCAATCCGTTAGCCCGGCTGTCAAAGGCGAAACCGTGCCTTGCCCTCTTCCAACTATGAAGAGATCATGAATGCTGTCTATTGATCTTACTGCCGCCACTGTCTCTTCTCCATTGCTCACTATTTTTTCGGTGTAAATGATTGATGCATCATTTGATGTTCTTACTCTAAACTGGTTTATATAATCCTCATCTAGTTGTTTCTCTCTGTCAGCATCTGTTACCACACTGATAACTCCTGGATCATTATGTCTAGGTCCTGCTGGTGTGGATTCATTTGCATCTTCTCCAGGAATAAACCTTAAGACAGTTAAACCTATCCCTGGATGATCACTCATTCGCCACGCATATGCTAATGCTTCACGATCATCCGGTCCACCAAAGAATAGGACAGCAACATGATGTGAAACTTGCCCTGCAGCTAATCTTGTTGAGCCACTGAGGCCTCTGTCAACTAGAATACCAACCGAGCAAGGCGCATTAGCCAATACATTTTGATTGATCGTTCTGAAAGCCGGATTGGTTGCTTCCATTCCACCATCAACTGTTTGTTGCTTATGAAAAGGGATTATAATAAATGCAACCCTTTTATCCTCAGCCAGATTGCAGATATCTTCATGCATTGTCGAGTAAGGGGAGATCACAGTTAAGGGCTGCACTGAAACACATCCAGCATGTTGCTCAAAGTTTTCAAATGCATTGATTATATGATCAGATTGCGCTTGAGTCCTATTCAGCGCAGGCCTGTTTGATTTTCGGCTATTGTGGACGATCAACAGGGCTGATGCGCGACCCGTGAGTTCAACAAGGTGAAGAACATAAATGCCAATTGGGGATTTCTTGGTCGGATGAGATGCTTCAAGAAGGTTGATAATTGTAGGGACATTTCTTGGAGTATGAACACAAACTAGCACCCTAAATTCACCGTCCGGTTTTGATCTTTGCACTGTTCTTTTCTTGTATGGTGCAAATTTTCTTGCTGGCTTGTAGATTATTGTGACAATGGGGATAATGATTGATGTCATAACCAATGCGACAATCACCATGATCGCGAAAGATTTGTCATCTAACACCTGGTTAAGAAAGATACATATGAACACGATTATAACCACCACAAGAAAATTATAGTCTAAACATGATATCCAGGAGAAATGCAGCATAATAAGCTGATTATCAAACCAATAACAAGATCTTGAAAATTACCTTTTGGTCTTTGCCAACATTGAGAATGATCATCTCAACAAGGCCTTTGGTATTCATGAGCAAACCAAGAGTGAGGCCCTCATAAAATGGCATCTTGTAGTAAAGAGCAACCAGAAGAGTGCCAGCAACTTTGCCAGCACAAGAAAGAACAATAACCAAGAACAGAATTCCCCAAGTCCCAACACCTCGAATCGTGCCGATTTCTGTCTTGAGTCCACTAATAGCGAAGAAAAGAGGTAGCAGAAGTCCTGAAACAAAATCCTCAAGCCTTTCTATAAGGGTCAAACCAAGAGGTCCATTCGGAATGACTAATCCAAACACAAAAGCACCAAATACAGAATGTGTCCCAATGGCATCAGTTATGAAACCAGAGATCATAACCCCTGTAAGAATCAAGCATATGTAGAAATCACTAACGGCTTCGCCTTCTGGCGTTCGCCGAATAATCCATGAAATAAGTGGCCTAATCACAAATATGCAAAATGTAACAAAAGCAGCACTTGACAGGATCACCCAAACTGAAGCCAATGAAACTGATTCATTTTCAGCTAAGGCTATTGCAAAGGCTAACAGAATCCAAGCACACATATCATTCACGAGAGCCGACGACATGGCGATCCGCCCGAGCTCCGTATTGAGAAGCTTAAGCTCTGCAAGGACTCTAGCAAGCACTGGAAAAGCAGTGACAGAAAGTGCAACTCCAAGAAACAGAATGAAAGTTCCCAATTTCATGTATTGGGCCCTGTTATGCAACATGAAGGAGAAGGATGTGCCGATGAGGAAAGGTAATATCATTCCGGCAACTGCAATGGCTAAGGCCTTTTTTCCGGTGCGCCGGATCACAGCCAGGTCCATTTCTACACCAACTAGAAAAAGGAAGTAAAGAAGTCCTACATTGGCCATTGTCTCCAGCACCATTACACTTCTTAGCGGAAATACTGTAGTTGCAAATTTTGTGCTTTGTCCTAAAACTGATGGACCCAAAATTATACCACCCTGTGATCATTCAGCATTCGAACATTTGTCAGAAACAACAGCTGAATTAACCAAATCTTCATGGGATTTATGAAATTTCAAAGAACCAAATTACGTAACTTCCTAAGTAGTGACATACTGCCTAAGTAGGAAATAATCAAACAATCCATCATTTGCTTACTAGATGGATATAATGAGATGAAGAGCTCTTTATTCCGTTGTTTCTCAAATCCACATTTCGAATCTAGTCAGTGTTTTCTTCATTTTGGCCACATTAAATTGTTAAATTTGTAGGTGCAAACAAGCCCTGTCTAAGTTCGAACTAGTCCTATATACATACAAAGTCGAATCGAACAGTATAACAAAGCTCAAGTTTGAATTTGTGATCAGAATCTAAGTCTAATTAGCCTCTCAACTTCCTCAGGTTAATTTCAAACTCGAATCAATCTCGAATAGCTCTCTGTTTGTTACACCCTATGGTGTGTGAAAACATAATTTGAAGATCAAAAATCCCACAAAACAGCCTAATAAATACTTCCTCCTCCCAAAATTATTTTCCAATATGGATTTTTATTTTTAGTTCAAATTGTACTAAAAGTGAAATCTTAAACTAGACAATAATTTTGGAACAGAGGAAGTAGTAAGTTAATGAGTCCAAAAATTTCAAAACTAGTTCATCCCTGCGCACATTACATTTTGATCTAATATCTTAAGATAGATAAAAAATAAATCTTTAAAAAAAGAAAAAGAAAAATAAGATTTACAAATAACTTACAAGGATTTCCGAAATAACTCGGGGCTGACGAAAAGGTTTCAAGAGGTAAACAAGAATGCGAGTGGTAACCACAACCAAGGTCAATTGCAAGATGAAGAGTGGCAATGAATAATCCAAAGGATTGTCACCTTGCCAAATCCCATTCGTAGTGATCATGGTTGGTGCATAACAAACTATCGTTTCATCACTTGAATTCGGTATTTTTCCTGTTTGGTTCGCCATTTTTTTACACCTTTTTTCTGGGAATTTCACCTAAAAAAATCTATCTAATTTAACCTTCTAATTAATTTCGAAAACTAAGATGAATATTCTAAATTAAGCTTTATACAATTGATCTTTGCTGCCATGCATGCATGACGACTTAGCTTCTTTGAAGAAACATGAAAGAAAAACTGAAAAGGTCGTTTGTTGGGATCTAAAACTCAAAAAAATTAAAGGGGAAAAAAAAAGGAAACAGTCAAGATGAAAATGGAACTTGATGAAGAGAAACAATCTTCTGGGAAGGAGAGAGAAAAAGAGAGAGATTAAGAGATTAAAAAAATTAAATTAAAAATTACTTAATTTTTGTGGATGTCCGGTCTAAATGCCCGTTGAGTAATCTGTGGTTGAGAACTTACACTCTACTTAACCAGTAATTAGACTATTATTAGGTAGAATTACAAGTAAATTAATCTCATACTAGCTACTAGAATTAATTACTGAAAAATTACTAATGCTAACTACTTGTAGAAGTTTAAGACAAACATACATCCGTTAATGTTTAGTTTAGGAGATTTACGTCGAAATAACTTCATATTAATTGTGTGGTGTCATTTCTTATCACTCTTTACAATATTGTATTACTTCTAGTTATTCTGTTAAGGTGTATTATTTATCTCACATTGCCAGCGTAAAGAGGAATGACCCATTATATAAGTTTCAAAAATTACCCTACTCATAGTGAATTGGTTTTGAGATGGTAGGCTAAAATATTTATACACTTTAACATACTCTTTACCGTACTGTCATATATTTACAATTCACTATTTCTCCATTCTCAAAATAAAATTTATATTAGAAATTCACCATTTTAGTTCAATAAGGGATTATCGTAGTGGGTCTGCGATACACCCCTCACCTGTATGATGCCGGCCAAGTAGGGAAACTAGAGTCTTATTTGAGCCGTATATATAAAAATTTCAATATAAACATGGATTTTATTTGGAGACCGTGGAACATATCGTGTTCGAACAGAATTTCTTTGACTGAATGTTTTGATTAGACATGCATGATTAGTTTCGATTCAAGACAGACCCGAACCCTCTATTTGCTATATTCAGCACAATTACAAATTCATTTCATTTCGCAGGGTCATATCGATCCACAAGCATATCGGTCCATATGTAATCATTATTTTCTGTGCAAGATATATAATCATTTTTCATTTCATATGGTTACAAAACATTAGCTGGGTTATAGCTGCATGTAGTTCAAAAGGAATGGCAGAGATCCATAATAATCTGAGGGACTGGACTTTGTTGAACATGACAAAAGATGTGCTCCCTTCAATTATAGTAAAACCGAAAAAAAGGCGTTTGAAACATATTTTAGCAATTTCTTTTAAACATAATTGTGCTAGGTGCTTTGTCTCGTAAAAATAATTTACTCAATGACTAAGATATTGATTATTTTTCTAACGTATGACCAAATGCATTAAAGATTATGGCGCTCGATGAATCCGAAATCCGTCGGACTTTTAAGAGCTGACGTTGATGATGACTCTAGGGAGAGAATATTACCTAGAAGATGTAAGATGTGTTTAAATTTGAGCCAGTGTGAATGAGAATTTTGGTTTCTCATTAATTGAAAAATGAAATTAGAGACTATATGAAAGGTATGAAACTTTTGAGTTCATGAGTACGTTAGACTTGATCAACCCGAGTTATGAACCTATCTTGATTCATTTTCCAAGTAGATGAAAAGTTCTTGCAGGTTCATTTGGATGAACTAAATTCATGAATCAATATTAATGAGATGCAAGGGGATGAATGTTAATATTCATAGTTAGATTAAGTTCATGAATGAAATCTTTTTGGTTTTGGTGAAACATTACATCTAACTAAGTTAATTGAATTAACTGGGAAAAATGAATTAAACAATTCTACTACTTCAAGTAACTCTTTACCTATAAATAGTGGCTCATTCTCAACAAACGAATCATTCAAATTTCCAAAGCTTTTTAAGCTTTCTTCTTAGTCTTTCTAGCATATTTATTTTGGTGTTCTTTGAGTTCTAAAGTTCTAGTTCGCTGATGAATATCCTTACTGTAAAGTAATCTTTACAAATTCGTTATATCCTGTGAGATAGAAGCTCACTAAATCTCTTGTATATTCGGGAGAGGGCTAATCTGTCTTAAGAAAATCGTGTCTTTCACGAGTCTCGAATTTTCCCTCAATTTTTCTATCTCTTATTCTTCCCATTTCGAATACACTATCCTTAGTATTTACCCAACAAGATGTGGGTTACCACTCCCAGTATTGAAATGACTGTTTGTGAAAGACAAAGTATATGTAAAGGAGAATATTTAGACTGTTTCTACCCAATAGATTTCTTCATCATAGGAAATTAACCTTATTTGAAAGGCGATGCCAAAGGCCTAATTGTTATGAGGTAGGATATTCGAATTATCAAAAAGTCGTAATCGTAAACATGTAATTGATTTTTCTTGTGATTTATATCTAGTTATTGTTGATTTTTGTCAAAGAGATGATAACATATATACTCCATGGATTCAATGGCTTTGGTTGGCAATGTCCAACCTTGTCTATTACTCCATTTGTCAAAAAAGAAAAAAAAAATTAGTCCATAATTTGAGATTTACATTTTGTTCAATGTAAATTTGAAATTCAATTTAGATTATTCTTTAGGATGGAGGGAGTATCATTTGAATCTTACTGAGCTTGAATTGCATAGGCTGAGAATTTTAAAACAACTCCGTATTTACATGACAAAAAGATCGATTGATAAAAATAGCAAGTGCTTGTTCCATGCCGAACGCCACCAAACAGTAACCTTCTCGGCGATGGGCCTTAGCTCTCAACATATCGGCTACAAGCTCAGAGCCCACCCAAGCTGCTGCAAGGGCTGAGCCGAATACACTCGCTCGGCAGGTGGCTGGGGGGATCCATTTCTTGTTCTTCGCTCATTGAAGAACCCCACGTATGGCACTAGTGAGGTTAGCCATCGGTGACCGGCTCAATGAGCCTCCTTTGGACGAGAGTTTCTCGATCAACTAGGCTTCACTGATAGCGGAATTCAAAAGGCTAACGAAAGGATCCAAATCAGTGGAGAACTTTTTTTTTTTTTAACATTCAAAAGACTAGGCCGGCCGGAGGATTCTACTCTTGATGTTCTATCAAAATTATTGTTTAGGGATAAAGATTCAATTCCCAACGAGATATTTCCATAAGAAAAATACAAAGACTTTACAATGTGTTGAAAAAATAATGGAGTTACAACTCCCATTTTCCTTTTGTGCCAAAATAATGGTGCTACTAATTGTACCCAAAACTACCGTACCAATAGTACTGAGAGTTGGGCTATTTACTTGATAACCTGTCTAATCTTGGTCAAATGTGAATTCTATATAGTTTATAAGTATAGCTAGAGACCTAGCATGTACAAAAAAAAAATAATAATGACAAAAAAACAGATTAGTTTAAGTTTGGCAGAGGGCCATTAGAATCCTTTATTCAAAACTATTTATCAAAATTGATCTGCATCTCATTGTCCCATTGGTGTACCTTTTTAGTTTTAACAAATAGTACTAGGAACTATTCAACCTAAAAAGTAAAAAATTTTCATCTCCTTGACCATCAGTAAGATGCATGTTACCAGTAAGTTACTGTTAAAATGTCACCTTCTAAGTGGTAGTGGAACAATGTCATGTATACATGAGATTGAACAGCTAATTAGAAGTTGGAACCCAATAGATCTTGAATGAACAGATCAGGATCCAAAACAGAAAGGGTTGAGAGCTTCTAGCTAGGAGGAGGATACAGTAAAATCTCTGGGAGTCCGAGTAAAACTGGCTGTCTCTCAAATCAAAGACTCCAAATTCACGGATTCAATTCAACAGGTCACGGATCATGTTTCGAGATTCGGGAAAGCCATGCATATGATACAACCTTCCAAAATCCTCAGTTTATCAGTCTGCAATGGAGAAAAAAAATGCTTTTCCCTTAGGCAACTCCTTATTGTATAAGATCATCATCATCATCTTAAGACAGCTATATCATGTATGTATTTCTCCAACTTTATCCATTTCTTAAATAAAACGAAAAACAAAAAGAAACCCGAAACTATAAACATTAATTCATGCATGATGCATGCGAGTATGCAAAAAAATGCAATCACGGGTTGCACATAAAATTCAGCTATAAAACCCTACTGAACTCCAACTCAATGAAAACAAAAAAGAATCAAGAGTACAAACTGAAAGAATGAATGATCTAATGCATGAGTGAGTGAGTTTGTGAGTGAGTGATCCACCAAATATTCCTTGATATCAAATCATGGGTACAACAATGTTTTTAGCAGTGTTCTTCATTGGCTTGATTTCCACGTTACCCGCATTGCCGCCGGCATTTGCATGGAAGAATTGCTGCTGTCCTCCTGGTTATCCACCCTACCACCGCCCATCTCCTCCCGGCGGACACCGCCCGCATCCCCCGAAAACTCCGCATCCCCCGAAAACTCCACGTCCACACCCTCCTCCCACCACGCCGCGCCCCCAGCCGCCTTTCGTCCCGCCACGCCCTCGGCCGCCTTCCCCGCCGCCGCGTGTTTTGCCACCTATCATCACCCCTCCTCCGATCATTTCCCCACCTATCACAAATCCTCCAGGTATCATTCCTCCCATTAGACCTCCACCGATCATAACCCCGCCGTCACCTCCTGGTGGCGGCCGCGGTGGCGGTGGTGGATACCCTCCTTACACACCTTCTCCTCCGGGTGGTGGAGGTAGAGGTGGCGGTGGTGGTGGTGGCCGGGGCGGAGGCGGCGGTGGAGGTGGTGGCGCGTATCCACCGGCTCCAACCCCGGCACCGGTGACAAAGTGCCCGATTGATGCACTGAAATTAGGGCTTTGTTTGGATGTGCTAGGAGGGTTAGTCCATGTTATAATTGGGAATCCCATTGAGAATTTATGCTGTCCAGTGATTCAAGGTTTGTTGGAGCTTGAAGCAGCCATTTGCCTGTGTACTACAATTAGGCTCAAACTTCTCAACCTTAACATTTTCCTACCAATTGCTCTTCAAGTCTTAGCAACTTGTGGATTCACCCCTCCACCTGGTTTTGTATGCCCTCCTCTGCCTTAATTTTGCTTACTTTTCATTATGTAATAATTTGGATTTACCAAAATAAGTGTGTATCTTTAATTTAATTTGGTTGGTGTTAAATTTGTCACATTTCTCCTTAATTTGTTTCAAAGTTTATGTATTTTTGTGTTTTCTTTGGTTGAGAAGAATATGATTTTGTGACTCTACTGATTATGTCATGTATGATTTGTCACTGAACAGATTAGTCCCTTAATCAAGAACTACTTTTTTTCTTTTACTTTTTTTCATTATGTATGATACTATAACTTTAATTGCTTTGCTCTAGAAAACATTTTATTCTTTCTTGACATTGTTGTTAGCTCTGAAGCGTACAAATGAGATCGGAGATATGGATCACATTAAGTTACATTATCAATCATCTCTGTAGAAATGACTAGATGCTTGCTGATTTTACAAGCTAACAAGTACTATTTGAATCGATCTGTAAACGTATGAATAGATATCTATTGAACTGAATAATTCAATGAAGTGACGTTTGGTGACAACTAGATTTTAAGATGAATAAGTCGGCAATTTAACCGGAATGCGTGGGTGGTGTACGAAAAATCTTGAACGTTATGAGTGAAAAATGTAAGATCATCTATTAAACTGAAAAATTCACCTAAAACAGTCTGTAAGCGGGCTAGATTTAATCGTATTAGGCGAATCATATCATCTGTGGCCACTAAGACTTAGGATCACTAAAAATGCCAAATAATGCCAAACAATCTGCAAACTAACCGAACCTGAAAATAAAGAATTAAGATGGGTTATAATATAGTGTTAAAATTTAAATGATTACTTTTATAACGTGGGAACAAAAGATTGAAACCTTTGTACCCAAAAAAAAAAAAGATTGAAACCTTAAGATATGGATTAACTCCATCCATTATATCCTGACCTTTTTTTTCTTCCCTTTCTTCTTTGCCATATTACATGATTTTGATATCTAAATTCATAGTCCGGACTAATTAATATTCGGACACAATAGGTCCTTCATGGAAATAAATTTCTGTTAACAAGTATTCGATGTTGTCTTTTGATCACTTGCGTTTTACTTCCTTAAGAATGCGAAGTTTCATCTAAACGATGTAAATGCTATTTTGAAATGAATATCTAAAAGTATGATCTTCAAAAGAAAAAAAAAAGTCTAAAAATATGAAGGAAAAAAAATTATCTTAGAAAACGAAAACAAGATCTGAATACAAGATTAATCCAAATAACAATTTGCAAATAATTAGTAGATGTGCCCTTTCTTATAAACAAAGTGCCTAATCACAACGACTACAAATACTCGATTCATATTGGAATAAAAATTGTAAGAAATGCCCTGCGTAATACGTACTTAAAATGCATGTATTCATCTCTCTACGCTTCATTTATCAAAGGGGATTTGGCATTTAGCTACATCAGCATCACCACATATGCAACATCAATTTCAATCATGAACTGGAAAGATGTCGGTAGGGAAAAGCTGATTTGATTTTTTAAGGGTTATAACTTTGATCTAATCAACCTACGCGCTAATTCTTTGTAACTTTTAGCTATTGTCACTTTCAAATATATTAAGTACAAAATGTGCATGCATGCATCGTATATAAATATAGCGCACCAGTAGACACGTCTACAATACTCTACTGTGTGTCTGCGTGTTTTATTTAATTTTCATTTCATAAAACTTAATATACTTCCAAAGATTCTTTTCTACTGGTTATATGGGGACAATTTTTGATGTAGAAAACACCCCCAATAGAAACAAAAATATCAGACTTGATTTGCGGTCAACCAGATATCAAAGAAATTGGGCATGTCTAGAAGTCAATACGAATTTAACAAGTGGATCCTTATGTGTACTACAGTATTTTTGCAATTAATGCGTAATAAATGTATTGAAATGTGAATGGAATTTTGGAGTAGGCTTCACGGGAGTATAGGATTAGTGTTCTGGGGCTGTTATATATGATAGAACATATAGTAATAAAGAAATTAAGGCACGAAAGCGACTAAAAAAATTTAGCCAAAATAGGAGACACACATCTATTCCAAAACCAACTTGTTTTGTAATTCTGAGGGTACGTGGTCATGGTGATGTATATAATCCATGAAGGCCACAAGTTTTATTCTTATTATTATTTTGGTAACAAGGAAATAATATGTGATCTCTATCATGTACTCCTCCGTCCCAAAATTATAGTCCAGTTTGAGATTTTTTTATTTATACAAATTAAACTAAAGTGAAAATTCAAATTGAATAATAATTTTGAAACATAGGGAATATGTGAAGAGTTATGAGGAGAATATTTCAATTTGCGTCTCCAATGAGGTAAATTAATAATCCTATCACACGGTTACAAAATTGTTAGGATTTGTAAACCCTGTTCATGAAAATGCAACAAATCAAATTTTTTTTTTTTTTTGTTTAAGACAAAATCTTGGTTTCAAAACCATCGAAAATTTTGCATGTGTAAAAAAAAATTCACCTAAAGCCCATTTATCAATATGAGAAGTCAATCTTGTGTATTTAGTTCGTCCTTACAGTTTCGTTGTACACATGGAGTTCATGAAACGATGAAAAAGTAGTGTGGTTACATGCTTTTCGCTTGGTAATGAAATTAATTCTGCTTACCGAAGAAAAGATAATCTTATTTTTTTTAAGATAATAATATTGTTCTTTGTTTGCCAAATGTAGATCCATCATCACCCATACACATTTATTATCAGAAATTGGTAAAAAGTTTGGTCTTCCAATTCAAATTAATTTGTAATTAGTGGAGAAATTTAAGGTTCGATATAAACTGCGAATAGCATAGGTTTTTGGTTGGAACACTCATCACAGTGAACTTTTTTTAACAACATTTCATCAATATTCTATATTAAAAGGCTCTGCGCAACACACAACTCACAAGTGTGTCAATTTCTTGGAACTCTAGTTTACCGTAGTTAGAAAAAGATGCTTTATAATGAATTAATGAGAACGCAATTTGATTAATCCAGAAATGTCATGATAATGAAGACGGAAAAAGGTACAGAGAACGACAATACATAACCTGTATTAATTCTAATAATTTATGACAAGATGGGGATTGGTCTAATCAATCATCTAAACGTTTAACCTAATCTGAATGACTAAACTATCAATCGGAGTGCTTGACATTAGGGTGGCTGAGACACAATTTTGTGGACAAAAAAATGTGTAGGGTTTAAAAGGTGGACAAATCTAATGTTTTCGTGCTTTCAAAATGCGAAACCAAAAAATTAAATTACAAAATCGCGTTTGTGAGACGAGAATTTTGTTAATGGAAATAAAAAAATTAAATTATTATTTGCACAAATTGATCCGGGAGAAAAGAAAGAAAAAAAATGGAATTAAAAAAGGGAAACCAAAAATAGCGTTTTGAAAACGCGAATATTCTAATTTGCGTTTCAAAAACGCGAAAAATCTTTAGCGTTTTAAAAACGCGAAAAGCTATATATTTAAAATAAATTTTTAAATTAATTTTAGACAATTTAGCGTTTTGAAAATAGACCGAATATTGTGACAATTTAGCGTTTTGAAAACGCAAAAAAAAATGTTTTAGCGTTTTGAAAACGCGAAAATTAGTTTTAGCGTTTTGAAAACGCGAAATTATCCAGAAAATCTCCTCGACCACTCATTCGGCTCCACGTGTATTTTCATGATAGGGTTTGAATGAATTCGCGTTTTGTACGCTCGAAATTTAAGATACACATACCAAAATAACAGCATTTCTTCCCAAACCCACCTTATTTCCTTCTGTTGAGCTCCGAATTTGAGTTTCACTCCGGAGGACTTGGCTTAATCCGGGAAAGCTCTCATTTCCTTCAAATTGAGATGTTGCTCTGAAGTTAAAGAAGATTGATTTGAGTCCTGAAGTCTATTTCAAACCCAAAGTTTCAACATTCAGGTTTGTATTTTTCGTTATAAAAAGCATATAGTTTTTTATGCTTTATTGTGAGCATAGAATGATTTACGCATTATTATTAGTTCATAAATAATTGTGATTTACTCAATTAACGGTAGATTCTTAATTAGGCTGATAAAGTGAATTGAAAGAAATATTAGTTAATAGAATGTTAAATTTGATGAGCTTTGTAAATTATTGTATATCGATTTTTGTAAAATAAAATAAAATTATAAACATAAGAATAAATTATGTAATTCGGGTACAAGGTTTAGGTTTAATATTAATTTAAATTCTTTGATTGTAAAATTTGGGTTTGCTGTTGTTAAATTAGATGATTCTTGAAATTTATTGTATATTGATTTATGAAAAAGTTTATAATACCCAGTGTGAGTTTTATCAATTTTTTAGCGTAGAAATGAAGTTTTAAATTCAGGCGTATAGTTGTTATTTTGAAATTGTTAAATCTGTAAACGGGGTAAATACTGTTTCGACAAAACTAAAATTCAAAATGTATTCTAGTGTTCTGATTTCGTAGGAATTGATTTTGCAGGCCGTAAATGTCTTTTACAGAGACAGTTCGTCTGAAAGTATACTGGAATACTACTTATACAACTGAACCTGATGGGACTATCACGGTACAGCGGGATGCGCCGGACGGTTATCTTATCATTGATCATATGTTAGATTTCTCGGAACTTGTTGATAAGGTATGTGGTGTGATGGAAGTTGATAGAGAAGGGCTGTATATTGATTTTTCTTTGGTATGGACGGAGAGGTCAGGAAAAAGGTCTCGTGTGCACATTAATGATGATAATACTGTTCAGTTCATTTATCTTTGTGCTGATAAATGGCCAGAATTGTACCCTGAAAATGTTGAGAGAATAGGCCATATTTATGCAAGTACATCTGGCCAGGATATTGGTGCCAACACTAGTGGTAATAGAACAGTTGAAGACAATGAAGATGAAGATGCAGATGAAGATGACGATGAAGATGGCGGGGGTGTCGAAAGCAGTGATGATGAGTACGTCCCATCGGATGAGGACTCAGATGACGACACTGATTTTGAGTCATCTTCTTCAGTCCCATATATTTTCGACGACATCAGTGGATGGGACAAGATGTTAGAGGAAGCAGATTGTGATGGGATTAAAATGTGGGAAGGCAATCCGTTGACGCTAGACCTTGATGTACATTTCACCAACAAGCCAGAGGCATAGGCGGTAGTGGGAGAATGGAACTTGGTACATGATCGGACTTTCCGGGTGAAAACGAGCTCTAAAAGAACATGGTATGTCGAAT